GGTCTTGTGTTTTTGTAAAATGGCCAATCACTATACCATCTATGAAGGCATAAAGGATCAAGGAAGTAAGAATCCAAGGGGCTGGGGACCTGCCTGGCACGTCCTGCCTGGCGTGCGGTGAGCTCTAGTGCCCCTTCTCTAACGGACTGGACTTCAAGGCAGGTGGTGAAGTTCCGGTGCTGTGGAGCTCATGGTCCAATTGGAGGATCTGAGATCACTGGCGGGGGAGGGCGGCTCACTGTGGGGTCAGGGCCGTCAAAGACGCTGCCAGCTGATGTTTGGCAGGATAGGAAGACCAGCCTGGCCAGGCTGCGCTGTGAAGAGGGAAAAATGTACCTACATGGGTCGGCTTGGGTGTAAAGCCAGAGTCATGGGCGAAGCTCTGTGTGCAGCTGCCTAGGGTCCCACGGGAGTAGGGAGGAGGCGAGCAGAGCAGGGCGGGCGATACCAGCAGGTGCAGTGACGCTGAACGCGCGCTTCTTCCTGGGGCCACCCTGCCTGGCCTGTGTGCGCAGATCTGTCCTTGATGCTCGCCATTTTGTGAGCTACTTAGGTTCCTGGGTGCTGGCTTTCAAGTGAGCTCAATGACACTGCTCAAGCGCCTTTCTGGGCCAGGCCCGAGCGGGACTTGGGGCCATCTTTAAGCTGTCAATCAGAGCAGCATCAACGTTTGGTGGTGCAGGTTGAGCTCCCAGGGGACGGGGCGCTGGCCTTTTAAAGATGTTGAGTGAAGGGGCCCTCCCTGGTGGCGCAGCGGGTTAAAGCGCAGCACTAAGAAGCTAAAGCCGCTTCCGCATGAGTTCGATTCCTGCCTGCCCCGGAGGTGACCACATGGCGCAGCAGACCTCTCCTGACCGCCCGCTGCTCCCCTCAGCAATATACCTCATCGATCTGCCTGCTCTGCTCCCTGCTCTGTCTCTGGTGAATTCTCTCCCTTCACTTCTGGCCTGTACCCCAGCTCTGTATGCACAAATAAATAAATCTTTAAAAAAACAGATGTTGAGTGAAAACTTACACCCAGAGATGCAGACACATTGAGTGTTGTCCTTGATGGATATTTATGCCTGCCACCCCTGCTTTGGAGGCACAGAGCACCCCACTGCCCCAGAGGGCTCTGCAGGATCCTGCCCATCTCTGACTCCCCCCAAGAACATCAGGGGCACGTGTCTTTTTGGAAAGCACTTTCAACTTCCTAGTTCTCTGTTCATGACCATTGTAATGCTGAATGGGGGGAGGGGGGGTTGGGCAGTGGGGACTCCAGCGGTGGTAGTGAGCCCCGGGTGGCCCAAGCAGGAAGCCCCAAGCAGGAAGTGGTCAGGCAGTTGACCAGGACGGCCCTGACGTTTAGCAGGTGAGAACACTTGATGTTCCCTCGCGCCCAACTGAGTGAAGGGCAGTCTCTGCCCCCCACTGTCTCCTTAGCCACCCCCATCCAGTGCCCACCCCTCCACACAGGGACATCACTTCCCAACAGTGGCCTCTGAGCAAGGAGGGTCCTTGCTCTGCCCCCCCCCCCCGGACCATCACAGTACCTTGCAAAATCTTACCAGTTTGCTGAGAGGACAGAGTGAACAGATTAAGGAAGTTAACATTTGCACAGAGTCCAGACACGTCTGTCTGACACGTAGTGAGTGCCTATATAAAAATTAAATAAAACACGCTCAGTCTGAGGGGAACCTTGGCTGATGAGAATAGGCTAGAAGATGCAGGGGCTTTTACAGCCAAGCACAGACTCTTGAGGACCAGGCAGGGATATTCCTGATCGTCATGAAATGGGCAGGGGCCGCAGGAGGTGAGGGCCGCTGGGTCCTCACGGAGGGGGCTATCATTCTCCTTTGCACAAGGAACCCACAGGGGGTGCCCGATGCATGCCACACGCTTGGCTGACTTCCTGGCCCACAGGAAGAGGGTCACTTGGCTTCCATCGATTTTCCTTTTCCCTGCCAGCCGCAGCCCTGGGTACTTGGACGGTGGAGACAGGCACCCAGGAGCTGCGTGAATACATGCCTCAGGCTCCTTGTCCGGCATGCTGCCCGCCATCCCCAAAATGGAAGGCACTTCCCCACCGCTCGGCCTGACTTCACACCTTGAACACCGCATCCTCGCAAGCCGCACACACCTGCCTCTCAGGTTTGGGCTCAAGGGGCCCAGGCCAAGACCTCCATCACAGCCAGGGCCTGCACCCCACGAGAGGCTCCCTGCTCCTCACTTTGATCACACGGGCCAGGCCAAGGGCTCAGAGGTGACCCCGGAGGAACTTGTGCCTCTGAGAGCAAGTCCCAGGTTGTGAGAGACTGGCAGGCCCCACGCAGGCACTTCCTCGGCCTCCACTGTCCTTTTCTGCAAAGTGGGTACAGCCACCGCCAGCAGACAGTTAAGAAAATGAAATGAGGCACTTCTGCGTGTGTGTGTGTGGTGCAGGGGAAGTAGACACTTGGGTTCGGTTCCACCATGGGGTACTGGGACAAGTGATTTAACTACTGTATACCTCAGTTTACCCACCCATGACATAGCGATACCAAGAGCTCCTCCCTCATCTGATGGCTGGGGGATTAAACGAGTTAATGCTGTACAGCATTTGGCCTGTTCATCACCACTGTAGGCTATTATCGTTGCTGATAATTTTGCATATTCACTGTCAACACAAGCTGTATGAATTATTAAGTCTGAGGTTGGACAAGGAAGTCAGGCAGCTAGAGCTTGAGTTTCAGCAACATCATGAAACAGGGCAGCAAGGGGTCACAATCACTCAGTTGCTGTGAGATCTGTAGAAGTTACACCACCTCTCTGTGCCTTGTCTTTAAAGTTAGGTCAGGGACCACAAAACCAGTGATAAAGGACTGATCACAAAAATATACGGAGAACTGAAAAAATTCAACAAAAATAAAGTAAACAACCCCATCAAAAAATGGGCAGAAGAGCTAAAAAGACACTTCTCCAAAGAGGAAATGCAGAT